TTCAATAGCTTCTCATAAAACTCTTTACCCTTTCTTACAAGTTTTTCTCTGACTTGATTTTTTACTGCTTTCCTTCTCACTCATTCCCCGTGAGCTATACAAATCTTTCAGTGGTTTTCCAAATACCCTAGGCTCATTTCTACCTCAGCCTTAGCAAATTTAGAGATATTTTTAATTTCCTCTTCCTGATGTGTTCTTCCTTCAGATATGTATTGTTTTTCATATATCTATATCATTAAAATCAGACATGTTTTGGAAATTGAATATTTAAAAATATAACAGCTCATACAAACCTGGTATAGTTATGGGTGTATATCTCTATGTTTAGAACCCAAAGATTACTGTTAATAATTAACAACAATGCAAAAACAAAAACCCTGAAAACCAGAAAAGATTTTGAGGCCCGCTGAGTTACAGAAAATGTCATTTGTGAAAGAGGTTGATATAAATCTTTTATGAATGAACTCTGAGTATTTCCATTCATTATTTGGAAAAAGTCCTGGGTGGAATTCGGCATTGTCCTCGAAAGTTATTTCAAATACTCATATGCTCCCAAAGATCCATCCAGGGTTGCCACTTAGCCTTAACCCAGGGTTATATGAAAAAGACATTTTGCCTTGTTATGAAATAACTGATTTTTGAAAATGGGATATGCATAGGCAAATGTTAGAAAATATTCTATAATTGTGTGAAGTATGATTGGGAAAATATTCAACCATAATAATTGTATGTATTATAGAAGGCAAATTCAGTGATTTAGTATTAATTGGCAATTACTTTTACGGGCACAGATCCCAGACATTGTTGGCTATCTTAAACTAAAATTGATTTCTATTTCTATAAAAATGGCTGACACTTGTAAAATGCTCAGTAACCCACAAACGTTTATACACATTATTTCATTTACCCCTTGGAACAGTCCTCTGTGAAGCAGGCAGTATTATTTCTCTTTACAGATGAGGAAATGGAGACGGGGTTCGTAGGACTTGCCCTGAATCACAGAATCAGTAAATGGTGTCTTTTGAATTCAGACTTAGCTCTTCTGGTCCGGAAACCAGAGCCCCTTCCACAACAGAATGCTGGTGATCTAAATTTTAACAAGCCAGATAAGAACAGGTCCAAGACACAGTGACATCTATCTCTTAAGCATTTGCGAAGGACTCTGTGTTCCTTCCAATCACCTGAGTGATTGATTGACTGGAGCTAAGTGTCTTATGATGCTGAGCAGTCAGTATCTCAGGAACCTGATTGCAGTGGAGTCTGCTTAATATAACTCAGTTTTTCATTGTTTCCTGGGGAAGTAATATGAATTGTTAATGGCAGGAAATTCTAACTTATTTTAATCTTAGGTCTGTGTAAAAAAGATTCAGTGAATACTTTGATTATTAACTTTATAGGTGTGAGTGCAAAGCAATTTTGGTATATTGACATTCTTTTCAACCTAATGATAAAGGTGTTCTCTGCATATTTCCAATAGAAAAACTGCCTTTCAAAGAATGGACTTCTGAAAACATCAACATCTATGGATTACTATTTACTAAAAAAAAAAAGTATTAACGTTAATTCAAGAAAACTCATTATCAATCGGGAAATTAGTAGAAACTGTTCTCTGTACTCCAACCAATGAGAATTTTAAACTTTTGTTTGTACTGCAAATGATTCTTGCCAGTTCTTTTCAATAATCGTTTTCTTAAGAAATAATAGGTAGCAAAAACAAGTATCGTTTTTCCCTATTAAATAGAAAAATGTAAAATATTTCATCATTTTGGGAATTTGTGTGAGAGCTTAATTTAGAAAAGTTTTTTGAAGGAAAAAGATGATTACAGTATAGTAGATAGATTAATTTATGAAAAATATAGTTGAATGCCACTTTGTGAAAGGTACTCTTATAGATGCTATAAAATATATTAGAACGTGTTAAGAAAAATCCCATGCCCTCTAGCAGCTCATTTGATAGATGATAGAGATAATACATACACACACACATTTGTGTTGAAAATTTAGATGACAATATAAGAAATTCTGTGGTAAGTATACCAAATGGTAGATACAGACAATAAGTCCTGGAGCTATTTCCCAGGGATGATCAGAGTTGCCTTCCTGAGGGAGCAGTGTCGAGTAAGAATAATATTCTTGGCAAAAAGGCTATCGGCAAGTACCTGTCAATGAGAAGGAACCAAAAACTACTCCTTGAGAGTAGAAACGAAGAATTGGGTTGAAAATAAAGATTGGGACTAAAATTATGTTGGACCTTGAGGGAGAGGATAATTTAAGAATTTAACATTCAAAATACTTAATTTCTTTAACATTTAGATTGCTATGTCAACAAAACATGTCCAAAATTTGTTTTTATTTTGAGTGTGGGCTTTTGTATGTGATAATATTAACTTTTATGTTTCAGCTCATTTTTTAAATTAAAGTCCCTTTATCTTGTTATATTTATTACCAACAACAAAGAATGAAATATATTTGAAAATACCTCAAACAGGAAACTTTTGAAGCTGTCACAGGGATATTTTCTCTTCATTTTCAGTGAGATAGTTAGTAAAAATTTTATTGATATTTATACTTTTGTTTTAAATTGGAAGTTGGGTCTCAGAGTTAAATGTGGAAAATCACCAATTCAACTAGTTTCTTGAGGTCCACATTGGAGTCTTACACTTGCGTTTTTGTGAAATTCACAAGTTCTCCTAGGAAAGGATGAAAAGTATTAGCAGAGCCTCAAAGAAGTAAATGTCCCCCCTCTAAGGTAGAGGAAAATGTGCACATGGATCTGAAAATCTTTTCTGAATACAAAATTTCATAATATACTTTTCTGATCTTCTTTTAGGGAATATACAAATGTAAAACTTTTTTCCCATTCATGTATTCTGAAATGGCTTGCCTTTTCCTAGATAGTGTGTGAGGTTAGTTTATGTCACTGGGGTATGTGAGTGCAGTTGTGTTGTGTTCCAAAATGACAGAGAACGGGGAGACGCCTTCTGCAACTTTAAGGTTGAACATGTGCCTCCACAACCCTCACCCCATTTTCTGATACCACATCTTTCATTTTGCATTTTTTTGAAAGTTTCTCTTTTAATATTTCTTGCCTGACATCTGTCAACAGTCATTTAACTGCTGCTTGGTACATAAACTGTACTTGTCTCCGTTAGGTGCCATGGTTCAATTTCTGTACTTGTTTTCAAAGCCTGACATTTAGTTCCTTGAGAGTTTCTAAAGCAGCTTTTGAAGGAGATTGCAGTAGCAGACAATGAAGGCCATATTTAACTTTTCAACAGTTCTGCTCCGTTAAGGGTAAAGCAGGAAAATATAGGACCGCTTGGTATCTGAAGCAAACATATATTAAAAGGGAGAAAAAAAGCCTTTAAATCTCAAATGAATGTAGATATATAATAATCATCATGAAGCATCTGTGTAGAATGTTAGCACTTGAATCTCAGTGAGGGTGTATGGAATTTCAGCGTACTATCTTATCACTTTTCAGTAGGTTCGAATTGTTCTCAAAATAAAAGGTTAACAGTGTACTTTACTACAATAAAAAAAGAAAGGATTTTTAAAAAGTCACCAAAAATAATCTCAAATGCCCAGCAATCTTTTATAAATTCTCAATGAAGAATACCTTTGGTATTAATGTTCCTCATTTTTCCGATGTCCAGCACTAACTGTACTTTAATAAAGACTGAAGTAAACAAGCCACTGACCTGCGCCAGCATGTTCGTTAAGGAAAGATCATCCCCTAAGTCATCACTGCAGCTTTGTTCATTTGCACCTCTCTTCATCACATTTAAGTTGTCCAGTTTATTTCTCTCAACTTTGAACTTTCTTTTCCATCAAAAGGTCAAATTTGGGTTAATTACCCCAAGATACAATCTTTTATAGAATCTTTTTTCCACTTTACAAAACTGTTGAGTTATGACCTTAATTAACTGTGTGGTTGCACTCTTGTGCTGTGTTTAATGCTCATATTGTAGAGAAAGTTACCAATAAAAAAGAGATATTAGCAGTAAGAACTGTCACTGATAACCTGACGCAGGGCCTGGCATATAATAAGTGCCCTGTGATTTATTTCTTGAATCAGTGATTAATGAATCATTGGCTAACATTAATTACTTACCACTTACCATGCCCTTAGACTAAGGACTTATTGTGTATTCCTCGTGCATCCTCACAACAGCTTCATATGAGTTGTATACCTTAGCAGCTATCTGGTGTCAGTGTACCCCAGCTCTCCTTCGTTAGTATCCTGAGGGAGAGATACCCATCAAGTGGGTCACGATCAACCAGTTACTGCTTTGGATTTTTGCTTCCTAGGCAGTTCCACATTATCTGTAAAATGTCTTATATATATAGTGTACCCAAATATTTGTTTAACTAATAAAATAATAGAAGGAATCGTAAGTGCATATATTCAAAATATTCAAACAGCAGTTTGTTTGACTGGAATATGTTATATAAATTTCTCAACACAAACCACCTTTTCTGTTTTTGCATAACAATTGGTGTTCTTTGAAGAGGCCTGACTTAAGTGCTTTTAACTTTGGATTCAAGAAGCGCCTTAAAAGCATCATTTTAGACATACACAAACAGAGATGTATTTTGTTATATATTTTATGCAGTATTTTACGTTGTATTTTTATATATGTAATATATGATGTTGACATTTTAGAAATAAATTTTTTTAATGAATATATTTTATTTATCTCTTACTGGCTTTCTCTAGAGTTAAATTTGTCTGGTTCACCACTCTATCTTTGCATCTAGAAATATGTCTGGCATAGAGAGGGTGACCAGTTAATGTTGAAATTAAAAAGGAAATACTTTGTACAGCATGATTACTGTAGTTAACAAAAACAGCAAATGCTTCTTAATAAGAGGCTAATTTTATGTGTAAGTTAGTGAATGTTCTAGTTTAATTAAAATAGTCTCATTAATTTTTTATGATTGGAAAACTAGATCTCATTCTTGTTTTCTTTTCTTTATCTTTTTTTTTTTTTTTTTAGGAAGAATCCCCAGCACAAGATAGAATATAGACACAGTACACTTCCGGGTAAGTAATTTTACTTCAGGAAGTAAAAATAACTCAAAATGAAAAGGAAACTCAAAACGAAACCTTCAAATGACTCTCCTATTAAACCTAGGTACAGTTTGCTGTTATTTTGTGTTTTTCCTCAAAATCTCTTCTGTGAATTTTTTGAATTTTGATTTTGATGATTTTTCTTAGTTTAAAAAGATAGAAATTTTTATATTACAAATGTTTTCTACAGTCATTATCTAACGATATATATTTGTCCTTATATCTGTTATGATTCTTTTCTTTGTAGGTACCTGAAAACAAAATTTAGATTGGTCCAGATGGTAAAGAGAACTTACTGATTTCTATAATTGAAAAGTCTAGAAGTCGGGCTGGATTTAGATAAGATTTATGCTTTGGCCCATTAATGTTGTCAGTAAGGTCACCAGTGACCCAATTTCCTTCTGTCATTTTACCTTAAGAGGAGTATTATTATCCTAAGACTGGCTTCTGTCTCCACCAGGAAACTATACGCATCCTTATTCATCTGGGATGATACGCTCCCATGTTTACATTTAAGGAGAGAAAGAGAATGAACAGTTTCGACTCTCACTATTCCTAGGGAAAAATCATGAAATTTACTTTTTTTTTTTTATTTTTATTGGCTTGGATCACATTCTTTCTCTTGAGCTAATCACAAGGGCCACTGATTAGTTTGTACCATCCCTGGAACCAGAGTAGAGCCACCTCCTTCAGAACCACAGAGATCCCCGTAGAAACTAAAGTTTTTGGGGAAGGAGGAGGAGGGGAAATAAACACCAGAGAAGCAACTATCAAATGTTCATCAGTCCTATTTGCATTAATCTCTTTTACCTGCTTACAAACTCTGATACTTTTACCCTTTACAAATCCTGGCTTCTTTGTATCATTTATATAATGCAGAGGCCAATTCAACATTCAATATTTCTGCCCACAGAGAGAATAAAATGGGTACTATCCAGGCTATGCCCACATGCTTTGTATGTGTACAAACACAACCAACTTGTAACCAAGTGATAAAAATAATGAATTTTACCATTGGCAATTTCATTTCGTAGTTCTGATTGAAACACACTTTAATGCCTTAGTACTTCAGACACCAGTGTACTCATTTTGTCTGAGCTAATATGGTATGGAGGTTATATGTTACATGTTATACTTTCTTTACTGGGGCTGTGTCTAATGATGTTGCATTTATGGTGCCTAAATTAACTTCTTTTCCAGCAATAACGTAATAATATTGATTAAAACTATATTTTCTTGACTGAATTTAACATTGTTCCATAAAAGAGCATTTGACATATCTGTATATCTTTACAGAAATAGGAACCGTTTTCCTAAACACTATTAATATGCATCATATGGTATAGTTAAAAATGTCTGAATTTTCTTTGAAAAGTCTCTTTGAATTATCATTAAAGTAGCTTCTGAATGAAGAATATATTTTTAAAACAATTAGCTTTTTTTAAGAAAAACTTTTTTCATTGGAAAGATCGTTTTTTAAAAAGTATAGATATTTTTAAGCAAAGTTAAAACTGTTTTATATTTTTAATATACTTTCAAGGGTTGTTATATGGCAATATAATCAGAACATGTCTTTCTACTCTAAAACCTTTAAATTAAGGTATTTGGAGTATTTCGAATATTAAACGTTGAGGTTTTCATTATATTTTTAAATTTAGTGATATCTGACACGGAATTCTGACATACTTGTTTTTCTTATTCCCTAAATCCTTAGTTTAACATTACCCAAGATCTCAATCTCATTTATGTAACAGTACGTTTATTCACACACTCCTTTATGCATTTATTATATGTCTAACAAGTGAGGAAAGTTACAGAGAGATGTGAGACCCAGCTCTGGCTCTATATGTTTGTGGTGAAATTCTCTAAAACCTTGGAAGAAAGAGAAGGAGCCCTTCCTGTTGGAAGTTATCAGGGTAGACTTGATGTGGGAGTTTTAAGTTAAGTTAGTCTTTAAGGTGGTAGGATTTCAGGCATTTTGCTAGTTTCTTAGTTTGTGGTGGGTACATATAGGACATACCAAACAAAGTGAATAATAGATTAGTCGGGGACATCAAGGTAGAAAATGGTGAGTTGTGTTTGGAGTTAGCAGGTGGATCTATTTAACTGGCATGGAGTCTCTGTAGTTACTGTGGATGGTACCAAAAGGATGTATTAAGGCCAAATTATAGAAGCTCTCAAAAGCTAGACCGAAGATATAGATGCACTGACCAATAATGGTGAGCTACTATTTTACCCAAACGAAACTGGTGAGGATGAGCAGTCTGAACTGGAGTCGGGGGAGCCTTGTGGAGATTAGTTAGATAGTTGAATGAAGGGCCAGAGCTAGGTCACCATGAGGTACAAGTGAATTTCGAAGCAAGAATCAGTTAGGTTTGCCAACTGATTGGTTATGGTGTGGGGCTGGGATGAGGTAAAGGAAATAGGGATGACTCAGAATTATAGTATTTTTAGGAGACTGGTGATGACAGTTACACATAATAGAGATCAGAAGGAAGGACTGTGTAGGTTTTTTTAAAGTTTAAACATTGAATTTGAAGTGAGGTATCATAATTACATAATGAGACAATACAATATAATTAGTACCATATACCATATGTACCAAATACTGTAGTATTTTATAGTATAAAATAACTGCATTAAACTTTTATTATTTAATTTCTGATTTGTAGTACTCCTAAAACACTTTAGTCTGTAAGGTTCTTCACATATGTAACAATTTATGTAGTTTGTTCTGGTTTTGTAGGTTTGGCTTCTGTCATCTGCTAAGCTTCTTGTATACCTCAGTTTAAAATTTCACTAACTTTCCACACATTTTCTGAGTGCTTTGGTTTTGGCACAGGGTATTGAACATAAGAATAATTAGTGCCAGGAAAATTTTATTTTCTACTTTCTTAGCTACTTTACCTGTTGACAGCATTTAAAAGAAATTATCACCTGATTATTAGAGTCATTCCTTCTTGCTTTTATTATTATGCGATATTCATATTCTAGGTGATCAGTACCATTCATAGCTGAAAATTTAGAATGTTACACTGATAGCTATTTTAATATTTCTCTAGTTATTCAATTATGTGCTTGCACACATGTGCATATATCTATATCTATATCTATATCTATATCTATCTATCTATATATACACATATTTTTTTTCTTCAGAAGTGGAAATCAAAAAATCTAGAAAAAAGCTATTAAGGAAGGTTAGTGGAACGTAAATGAAATCCTGTAAACTGCTGCTTAGCATGGGGAAAACAGATTTTAGAATATGAAAAAGGCTAGCGTAATAATATTTTCAAAACAAAATAAACTTCATGTATAATACAGTAGATCAGAATTACACAAACTGCTTTTCCAAAGCTAAAATATGAATATATTGGTACGCTAGAAAGTGAGTCTTTAGTAGTAAAACGAAGAATTAAAAATGTTTATTTTTGTAGTGTATAATAAATTTTCATCTTTAGAGAATTGGGCTAATTTTTTTTACATAATGAAAATTAATACCCTAATTTGTCCTAAGATTTACTAGAAAAGAAAGGAAAATAAAACTTGAGGAATTGTCGATGTTAAGCTGTAAATCTGCTATGAGGCAGCTGTCGTCTTAGACCTCAACATCAGAAAACTCTTTGGAAAACCCAGTAATTTAGAAAGATCTTTTCTCCATGTAAAAATCAATATTTCTTTCAACATGTGACACAGTGTACTCGTCAGTAACTCTTCAGACTTCATTCTTGGGATAAGAATTGAGAGTGAGATTTTAAATTGTAAAGGAAATGTTAAATGCAAATTTTGGAATTGTCTTTCTGATATTACAAATTCCTCTGCATAAATAGAAAAGTCAGAAATTACCACATTGTTAATACCGAATAGTTAATAACATGCTTTAAACATGTTAAAGAGTTTGCTTCATTTTCTAAAGGCTGTTATTTTCATTATCATGGTTGGAGAAGTTAGAAAAATAAATAAATGGTCATTTTCATCCCCTTTCTAGAAATTTATAGTGGTTACTTATGCATTAAGTGAAATTAATTATTCTTGGTGGATGAAGAAATTTTACAGTTAGACATCTGTAATCCCAGGTTGAGTGGCAGTTGATGTGTTGTATATCAAACTTCTGTTTTTCAGTGAGAAGCACTTTAGATGAAGACGGTGATAACATTGAGCAACCCAGTGAGCATGACGTGAATGACAGCTCTCTAGATGATGAGGAAGAAGAATATGAGCCAACAGATGAAGATTCCGACTGGGAACCTGGAAAGGAGGACCAAGAGCAGGAAGATATGGAAGAGCTTGTGAAAGAAGCAAAAAAGTTTATGAAAAGAAAAAAGTAACCATTTTTTTCCTGCAATAATATGTGGCTCACATTTACTCTTTCTTTATGGAAAAAAATTGTGTGATGGTTATAAGTAAAAAGCCATAGGTTGCATAAAACTTTGGTCTTTTTTTTTTTTTCATTTTTCCAAAGATTCTGTCTTTACAGAATACTAGGCAAGTATAACCAGGTAAATTATGTCATGGGTAGAAAAGCATACCTCTTCATTGCTATTGAAGTAATTCTTCAAGCAGAATCAGGCTTTAAAAAATGATAGCTATCATATAATAGCTATTATTTTTCTAGTACCCTAGATGTAAGCTTTACAATTTTATTACATTTATTCTTTGAAACTTGGAGAAATTAGTTCCAAGGGGATACTGAATATAGGTTCAATAAGACTGCAGAAGAGAAATGTTCACCACGCAGGGAATGTTATTTTGTGACCCACGTCTGTAATTTACTGGATGTCTGAGATTAAGGGCAGAAAAACTGAAAGAATTTAACAGTTTCTTTTTCAAAGGTAAGTCCTCCCTGATTATTTTAACTCTCAATGTGTTGTCTTTACATTAGGAATAAATGATTTTTAACCATAATTTTCTAAAATGACCTTAGTTCTTTTGTCCTCAGATGAAAGTGGCAAGTTGTTTGCCAGTGTTCAAGATTCTAGCCTTTTATTTCAAGAAGAAACCCCTATTCAGTTTTATGGAGCATATCTCTGTATCTCTGTTCTTAAACTACTTTGGACCCTGTTATACTCTTTATTTTAGGTGACTTAGAATTTTTGAAATTTAGTTTAGAATCTTTAATAATCGTTGGGTATATGTACATACTGTAGTAGGTATAGTATTGAAATAATAAATCACTAAACCAAAAGTGTCTTTGTTAAACACTAATATTTTCTATTCTAAGAGAACCTCAAAATTTACATCTTAAAGAGCACAGATTTATAATTGTTTTCTTAGTGTTTTTAAATATATTTTCAAGTAATTGCATAATATTAAAATTTACTTAAAAACTACAGCAGGATAGTGTAAATATTTCCCTAGAGTAGTATTACTCATCATTCTTACTTTGTTTCTGTTGTTATTTGGAAACTCATTTTTCCCTTCTAATGTCCCTTTAATCTTGGGGTCTTGACAAACAGGTGAAAAAAATCTTTGAACTTATTGTCATCTTTGCACTTACTTAATCTTTGAAGTGTTCCTTAATCAACTCATAGATATATCCCAAAGGAAATGAAAACATGTGTCCACATAAAAAACTTGTACACAATGGCCATAGAAGCATTCATAATAGTCAAAAAGTAGAAACACTTAAATGTCCATCAGCTGATAAATGGATTAAAAAAGGTATATCTCTTCAGTACTTGTTTTGTTCATAAGCAACCACTGAAGAATTGAAAGATGCTACAGTGTAGATAAACCTTGAAAACATATGCTAAGTAAAAGAAGTCAGACACAGAAAGCCACATACTGTATGAACTCATTTATATGAAATATCTATAATAGGCATATCCATAGAGATAGAAAGTAGCTTACTGGTTGCCAAGGGCTGGGGGAAGCAGAGGCAGAGAGTGACTGCTAATGGGTATAGGGTTTCTTTAGGAAGTGGCATAAGTTTTCTAAAATTAGTGGTAATGGTTGCACAACTCTGTAAATATACTAAAACCCACTGAACTGTAAACTTTGAAAGGGTGAATTTTACGATATGTGAATTATATATTTCAATAAAACTGTTATAAAAAAAGAATACAAAAGATGAGATTAGTCTTTTAGAAAGAAAACAGCATTTAATATCAATGTATTCTTCTTGGTAGTAATGTGATAGCTCATGGCAGCTGGTTTTTAAGGATAATCATCCTGAAGACATTTTTGTGTGATCCTATTAAAACTTAAGTCAAATCGTGTTGCATCCTTGCCCCAGACCCTCCAGTGATCCTCAGTGTCACTCAGAGGAATCGGAGTCTTTATTAAGTCCTTTCCAGGCCCTGCATGAACAGGGTCTCTCATCCCGTTACTCTTCCTCTCACTTTTTGTGCTCCAGCCCTATTGGTCTCCTCACTGCTCCTCACATACACTCCTGTCTGTGGCCTGTGCCCTGGCTGTCCACTCTTTCTGGGGTGTTCTTTCCCATGGCGTTGGCATGGGTCACACCCTCACCAACTTCAAGGCTTTAGCCACATAGCCATCACCGTATTTAAGATTTCAGCTCTCATCCCCTCCACCTCCAAATATGCACTCCTGATCCCGCATACCCAGCTCTATTTATTTTCCGTAACACTTGTTTCTTAACATACTGTGTAATTTATATTTGTTTTTGTTTCTCATTCCATTAGAATGTAACCTCCATCAGGGCAAGGATTTTTGTCCATTTCTGTCAGTGCTAAATCTTCAGTGCCATGAACAGTGTCTAGAACATAACTGGTGCTCAATACATATTTGTTGAATGAGTAGACGACTATTTGGAAATGAGTGACTGTCACCAACAAAACAGTGGTTTTGTTTATTTAAACAATTTAAATAAACCAAGGTACCACTTTGCCTACTTCCCAAACACTATATTTTCTGGTATCAAGGAAGAGATGCTACTGAAGGAGAGCTTCTGAGAAAGCAGGCAGTGTACAGCCACTTTTCATGCATTTCTGATGAGCACTTGGTCCAACTTCAACACTGAAAATCAAGCAGAATGTGAGGCATCTCAAAGGAAAATTAGTCATTCTGGTTGGGATTAAACTGAGACTTCCATTTCTCATGAAGCACACAAAATGGAATGTCATAAATGGAACTAGCTGGTACTCTTTGAAACCATAAAATTATAAGTGCAGTACTTCACCAGCATCATACATTATTTTTGAGATTTTAAGCTTCATTAGGTGTGGGCTCAACAGCTCACAATGGCGCCAACTATACACTGTCAGGGAAAATCCTCGGATAAGGTGCCATGGGTAGCATTGCGTATTTGGAGCCCAAAACGAAGACTTCCTATGGTGTAGGAAAATTAGAAATTAACAACCAAAGGATAGGAAATATAAATCTAACCAACATGGAATTGTGAACTAGAATGTACTAAAAGCCTTCTTCTTAAAAAAGAAATGTTTGAAATAATAAAGTGTTTAGAAATAAGCAACAGTGAGAGTGTTATGTTACACATCGAGTAGGATGTACTTGGAGGAGGATAATACTATATAGTCTTAAACATATATATTAGGGAAAAGATTACAAATAAGTGAACTAAGTATTTTAGTCAAGAAGCTAGACAAAAGCATCAAAGTAAACCCAAGGAAAATAGGACAGAATTAATAAAGTAAAAGCTTGAAATAAGATTTTAAAAAGCAGTAGACTTGATCAACAAGATACAAAAATAGATTCTTTGATATCTTTGAGAAAATAGATACTTGGCAAAAAAACACAAATACTAGAAATGAAAAAGTTTGAGCTATAATTACAGATGTAAAGCAGTATGTAAAACTTTATGCCAATAACTTTATAAATCTAGATAAATGTATGACTTTATAAAAATACAATTTACCAAAATTTACTTTAAAATGTATTTTGAAAATCTAAATCAAAGCTGTAGAGGAAATGGAAAGTATTCAGAAATATACTTCTAGTATGGTACTAGATGTTGAGCATTACAGATGATATATTAAGACTTTAAAAGACATGAGAGACTGGCATAAACGGAGATGCACACCATATTTCTAGATAGAAAAATGCAATATTGAAATACACGTTAATTAGCTTCATTGTGGTAATCATTTCACAATGTATTTCCTAAATATATATAATTTTACTTATCAACCATACCTCAAAAAAGAAGAAAGAGGAAAATAAATTCTCCTTAAATTAATCTATAAATTCAGTGCAATCCCAATTAAAATTTCAAATGGATTCTTTATATAGAGTTTTACAATCTAAAGTTTGTCAAGTTTATGATGCTAAAATTCAGTTTAAAGAAAAATACATTAGGCAAATCAATAATTTTTGAATAAGAACAGTTGGGAGACTTGACTACCTCATCGAAATGTGTATATCAAAACAATAGAGCTACACATGCTTTTAAAAAAATTATGGTATCAATGCAGGAAAAGACAAATAGATGAATAAAACAGAAAAGAGACTCCAGTAACAGATCTGGATATATATGAACTTAATATATGATAAATGTAATTTTAAACCCATTGGGAAAGTTGAAAAATAATGAAATTATACACTTGCCTCAGATTCCAAAAAATAAAATTCTGTTGGAATAAAGAACATACCTGGGGAAAATAAAATATTGGAAGGAAACGTAAAATATTTCCCTAATCTAATGTCGAGGAAAGCCCTTCTAAGCAAAACCCACACCTCAGAATTAAAGAAAAAAATGGACATATTTCACTCAAAAATTTAAAAACTCTGTTTTAATAGAGCAACAGACTGAGAAATATATTTTCGGCACATGTAATGTATACACATAGAAATCTACAAACTGTAAAAAAATGAACAAGAGACGTAACAGGCAGTTCACAGAAGAGAAACAGTTTGCCACTGTGTATGTGAAAACATGTTCAGCCTCATACGTAGGTATAAATTAAAATGACGAAATAGTCCCTGACCATCAAAGTTTTTAAATCTAAAATATTGATATCTTTCGGCGATAAGAAGGGAGTGTTAAGTCTTTCTGGTAGACAATTTAGCCATCCCTGTAAGTATTTAAAGCGCATGCTCTTTGACTTGAATGTTCCTACTGTTAAGAAACTATCCTACAGAAACATTTATGTCTGAATATAAAGATGACTATACCAAGAAGTCCGCTGTAGCACTGTCTGTAATTAGAGAAAAAAAAAAAAATCAAAAGAACCTACATTTCCAACAATAGGGAGGTGGTTAAATAAGTGATGTGGCAGCCATATCATGGAATGAGGTTGATTTATGTAGCAATCTGGCAAGCTTTCCAAGAAATGCAATTTTTTAAAAAAGGAATTATGAATAATGAGCTCAGTATGATTCCATGTATACAAGGAAGTACCACTGCATATTCATTTACATATGAATAGAAAGAGACCAGGATGCAGATAACTGTTCACAATACTTACCTAGGAGAATGGAAATGTATGGGAGGGGGAAGGGAGTAAACATGGACTGTCAAATTAAATCTACATCCTAATATATTGCCTGAATCTTATAACAAGAATATATATATATATATGTATATATATATATTCAAGAACTACTTGTGTCAAAAAGAAAAAAGAATCACTGCTGAGGTCACCAGTCAAGGCTGGCAGTAAAAGACAGCAGTGCAGTCTCAAGATAAAGCCCTCAGACACCTGGTAAACAATCCTTGCATTATTTCTGATGCTATCAAAAACATTTCTGTAAACAAAAACTATTTCAGTGACCAGGAAATCCCCCTATGTTCGTGGCCCTTGGGATTTTGCTAAAACATAAAGTCCTTTTAACTGGTAGAAATGCAGAAGATTTTATGGATTCAAAGCATAGCCTGTGCCATGGCGGTTAAGTGGTGAATATGTCCTAATCCAGATTCAATGCAGAGAGACGTTTTAGAAAAAAAATGTGAAACTGAACTTCCTCAGTTGCCTCCAAATTCC